ATATTTCTTGTCCCACGAAACGGCTGTATGCTAGCGGAGGCGTACAACAACGTCATACCCCCCTCAGGCTCCGGCTTCCCCTGGACTGTATGGGCCTCCATCGAAACTGGTCCGAATCTCGAAATAACGCGTAGTCACTTTGTCAATACGCTGAGTGATTCCCCGAGCATCATGGAGGGGAAAGCTCCGCGCAATGCCTACAAAAACGATTGTCTTGTTCCTCGTCATGATATCAGCTTGGAGAAATTGAAGAAATTCTGGGAGTCTAGCTTTGCGGTGTCTTCGCTTCGGGATTCTGTCTGGAGAACGGGGACGGGGGATGGGGGACGGCTGCATACAGATATCAGTGACCAGTTTGGATTAGGAGGGAAAACAGGGTTAGGTGAATGTGCGCACGAGGGATTCTATCTACAAAGGTGTGTCGGAACTTCGTCGACTATCCACTGGGTGCTCACTGATATCGTTCCCCTCAGTTTTTTCGTCATTCGTCCCACCCAACGATTTTTACCCCGCATATATACTCAAGGCAGGCATTTTGGGGACATTCTTAGACCGGAAAACCCCTATAACAACGACGGAGGTTAGTCAATGTTGGTAGGAACGAGCTGGGGACTAATGCACCTTCAAAACGTACACCGCGTCTACTAGTTTTACGACCCTATCCACAACAGCATCCTGAACGAATACCATCCCAATGACAAGGTGTTTCTAAGTAGCTTTGAGGCCTGTCGTCAAAAAAAGAAAAGAAAAGAAAAGTCGGGATGCTCTCTAGTCGTTCAGCAGAGAGGGGACGTTTGAATACTCACTTTATACCCCTTCTTTTTTCAATAAATTGACATGGTTCGTCGATAGCGGCGATTCTATTTCCTAAGGTGGTCAGTAGTGATGATGGAAAGAGTGGTGACGAAGCCAAACGTTGATCAACATGGTCTGATCAACGTCAACGTTGTCCTCGACGGCCATCATTACCTCTGCCAGCTTTGCTCCCCAATCATTAACCTCTCGCGCGTCTCGACTATAGGCTCGAATTTCCTTCTAGGACATACTATTCATTTGGGGTCTCTTGGGAACGCTTGATGGCTGTTCCGCTCAACTCCGAGTCTTTCTCGCTAGTAGTGACTAGTGAGTGCCAGTGTCCAACCCTTCTAACCCTCTAATTCGCAGCATGACTAACTAATAGTTCCAGCACGCCGACTAGAATAGTATCGAGGTGAATCCTCGCCCCGTCCGTCAGTCACTCAAGTATCTTAGGATACGCGTCTTGGACGCAGCTATTCGGTTTCGGGGTGCTGCTCAGACCACCAAGCATCTTCAACAACTGCTTTTGGAGGCGAATAACGATGGGGAGACCTTAGAAGTGGTGTAAAGGGAATGCTAGCTGCATGCGGAAGTTACTTCGGTGAATATCACAGGTGCGGACTCTCTTTAATCATTCTTTGAGCCACCATTCCTGCTCAAGTTTATCTTTTTTTTTCATTCGGAAAGATGGTTGGTTTGGTCCTTGCCGCTTAGATCGTCGTCAGCGCCATCTACCCCACCCCCACTCCCTGGAATTGGCCAAGCCTTGGGGAAATACACACAAGGCAACGCAACGATCATCATCGCTGGGAGGAATCGCGCCACCGCTGATGCCATCATCGCCAAACTCCCCAAGCCAGCGACCCCTGGTGTCTCTCATGAGTTCATCGAATGCGATGCGACCATCATGAAGAACGTACATGCTACGACCAAGGAAATCCTCTCGCGCCATCCGAAGATAAATTTCCTGGTCATGTCTCCTGGGTACATGACGTTGAAGGGTCGAGATGAGACGGAGGAGGCGATCGATCGGAAGTTGGCGCTGAATTACTATGCCAGGTGGACTTTTGCGAATGGGTTGCCGCCTGCGTTAAAAAGAGCAAAGGAAGACGGGGAGGACGCGAAAGTGTGTTCGGTGTTGGGCGCTGGGAAGGGTGGGGAGATTGACGTTGAGGATTTGGGATTGAAAAAGTCATTCTCTGTGGCCAAAGCCGCGCTTGCTTCGATCTCATGATGGAGGTGAGTGACAAATTTTTTTCTCATGATTGAGTACTCAGAAATTGTACAGGAACTCGCTGAACGAAATCAAGACCTCACCTTTATCCACGGTTTCGTCCGCACTAACCTTCTATCCTCCGCTCAATCGGCGATCCTCCGAGCGGCCTCCGGTATCATAAGTGGTCTGACATACGCAGTTTCGACGGCCCCTGAAGATTGCGCCGAGTATATGTGGCATGGGATATTCAATAGCACCAAAGGTGCATTCGGCAGAGCCTCGGAGGCTTTGCCGAAGTTCCTTTATTTATAACGAGGCAGCGAAGAAGAAAGGTGCCTTCAAGTCCCCCCTTTTGATCTTTCAATGAGGTTCAGCACATTCATTGCCCTCACCGCTCTTTTTATTCCTGCCTGCGCCTATGGGGCGATCTATTCACTCTCCGATGAGGTTTACGGCCCAGGCTTCTACAGCTTCTTTGAATGGGAGGCGATTGAGGACCCAACGCATGGAAGAGTGTGAGTACTCTCATTTTTGTCTGGTCCATCCTGAGATAGCTATCCAGGACCTATGTCGATAAGCCAACTTCGATTCATCAAAACCTGACTTACGCTACCTCCGATACGTTCATCCTTCGAACGGATTTCAAAACTGTGCTTGATCCAAACGGTCCTGGGAGAAATTCGGTCAGGATTCGATCAAAGAAGACGTACACTTCTCACGTTGCGGTGTACGTTATCCTTCGCTAATTATATAGTCGTCCTGAATTCTCGCTAGCTTTGATGTACGACACATACCGCAAGGATGCGGGTACGTTCACCCCCCCAAAAAAAAACTTGTTTTGCCCTCTGCTAAAAGATTCACAGGACATGGCCAGCTATTTGGGAAACTCTTGAAGCGAACTGGCCAAATGGTGTTCGTAAAAGTTTGATGCTTCTTCCAGCCTCAGTAATGATCTAATACAGGGGGAAATCGATATCATGGAAGGTGTCAACGATCAAGGAACAAATCAAGCAACATTACATACAAGTCCTGGTAAGTGATACTTTAACTTGAATCGTGTTACTTATCACCCCATCTATATCATTACAGACTGCCTGATGCCAACTAGTCGTACGATGGCAGGGTGAGTACAGCATCATCTTAACTGGGTACTCAGTACTGATCCCCAATCCAGAACTCCTACCTACGACACATGCGACGTGACGCTCAATTTCAATGCGGGATGCGGCGTCAAGTTTCCAACGGCATCCAGTTTTGGGCCAGCATTCAATACGAATGGAGGTGGATGGTTCGCCTCTTATTGCGCTTACATATGTATGTTATATATAGCTGATGCCGACAGGTATGCCATGGAACGATCGCAGACTTACTTCAAAATTTGGTTCTGGTCGAGGAACGACTGTGATGTACCATCGGATGTAGCTCACGCACGTTCATTCGTCAATCCCGACGCATGGGTAGGCGCCTTTATCTATCTATGATCTGCGTGAGTTTTGATTTGCAAGCAGGGAACGCCTACGGCGTACTTCCCCAACACCTTTTGCGACTTCTCGACCCATTTTGATCCGCAGAATATTATTATCAATCTCACTCTATGTAAGTGCCTTCCCCGAGCTGGTAACGATGACTATAAATATGCCTGCATAGGCGGGGACTGGGCTGGTTCTACCTATAGTCAGGGCACTGGATGCCCCTTGACCTGTGTTGGTGAGTTCCTGCCAAACCCTCCGGCTGCCATAAGATGACTGAAATTCATTTTTAAGACCACGTCAATTACAATGCGTCCGCTTTTACCGACGCGTACTTTGACTTCGCCTCGATTCGTGT